GTATCCTCTTTCTTTCGCTTCTTCGCCGGTCAAAGGCACGGACGGGCGAATTTGCTTTGTCTTCCATAGCTTCGTTTCGTTGCGTGAAGATTTGCCGTATAAAAATATCAATGTAGCATAGTCACATAACAATCTTTATGGAAAGAACGGTTTTGCCAAAGTATATAAAAATTTAATTTTATATATATATATATATATAGATACGAATCTGAAAATAATTTTGTTCGATTATTAAAATAATTATAAGACGTTGAGGCATGATGAACTGAGTGATATAGAAAGTTTTGATATTTTTGCGACCAGCTTGAGCGTTCTACATATTTATTTTGATAGTCTATATCAAAATTTAATAAACTTTTTGCTCATCATGCTAGAATTTCCTACATAATTATTTGGATGGTCCAAAAAAATTATTTTCAGATCTGTATCTAGCTAAATTTTTAGATGCTAACAAGATCATTTCTTTCGTGTAGTTTTATAGAAAATAAAAAATTTCTTGTGCAAAGTAAATAAAGATTAAAGTTTCGCTAAAATTATTACAGTCCCTTCCGGGAACTTGAATCGTTCATAATTTTGAAATTATCGATGACTTGTTCTTTCACGAACAAGATAGAATGCCTTTCGTCGAGAAACTTTATTTGTGAGGATTGAATCATCCACTGTATACACGCCGCACGAGTCTATGGTTTAGCACGTCCGCTTCCAGTTTCGGATGGGTTTGCCGCGGGCGAGATTCCGCTACTGTTAGACCACTCGCTGGTTCCACATAAAGTCGTAAAATCACGTCGAGAGCGTTGTACGGAATTCGAATTAAAAGCGCATTTCTTGAAGGTAATCCGCCTGTGCTTCCTTTGCATATGAAATGAGATATAAAATGTACGTCCAATCGCGACTGAACACGATCACTGCATTGCAGGCTGATTAAACGACTGGTTGATAAAGAATCCTATCGCGGATCGACTTGCTAGATAAGCTAATCGATGATTTCTCTATAACGGAAGTGCTTCGACTATCGGGAAATCTGCAAGTGATTTCATACAAAATGCATAAGAATTTCTTAACTTCTGCAGAGATAAGTTAAAGAAAATAGTAGATAAAACGGTGAATTAATTATGATTTTCTTATTAGTTTCTTATAAAATTAGACTTATTCAAATAAAGCTTAGAATGTTTTCAAAGTCTTTTCAAAATTTAAGATGCATTTTATTTTTTAGGAAAAATAAAAAAGATTTTTTTCTTCGATTTTTTAAAGGAAAAAATAGAAGAATTTTTTTCGTTTTTTTTTTTTTTAAATGAGAGAATTTTCTTCTTTGATTTTTCTTCGTTTAAATAGTAATGAAGAGGATATATTCTTGAAGAGAAGATATACATAATTCATTAATTATAATATACTTACTCTATATTTATATGAATGATTTTTTAATTTATAATTTAGAACGTTTTATATTATCTCTTTCTCAGAATAAGTTAGGCACGTTCGTTAATGTGACTTTCAATTCTTATTCTATCGGACATTCAAAAATGTATGCCGAGCATACAGGCCGGTGAGACAACGTTCTCGCATGTAACATTTGCGACAGACCCGTTAGTCCTTGAGCGTCCTCATCTTCTCACTTTTTCTTCGTATGTATAAAAGCTTCTTCCGTTACAAGTATGTGCATTTCATCTAATGTTGCGTACACGGCTCATGGCCACACGTGCGAGTTTCGTGAGACGAAAGTTTTCAGTCGGAAAAAGTGACAGACAGCTGATCACTTAATCAATCAATAGAAGCCAATGTTAGAATGTTTATGACATACTATTGTATATATTTATTATACAAACATTAGCTGCGTTCAGCAGAAGGAGTAGCTTTGTTGTAAGATTCTTTAATATGATTGGTTTATGTACATTTAGATGTAATGAGAAACTAAGAAGACAAATCATATTAAAGACTTTTACAACAGTCGCAAACTTTTTTTATTAGACGCAATTTTATCATTGAATTATTAGTGTTTGACGCTTTTTAAGCTAATAGAAAAATAAAGATTACATTTAAAAGATTTTTGATATTATTTCTATTCTACTGATAATAAATATGTATTAAATAAATAAATATGAAATAAATGAATAAATATGAAATAAATGAATATGATAATTTTAACATAATTGTTACACATAAAGATATAAATATTTATTTATAAACATTGGAAACACTTTTGGAAAATTACATTATAATAATTTATTTTATTCCTATATTAGTTTCAATTTTCTTATGTATCGTACAATTTTGAAGTTATATTGTACTATCATATTATTCTATCGTACATTTCAATTATAAACTAATAGAAATATTCTTCTGTATTAAGCATTGAGAAATTATCATTTTAACATAACTTCTATGTTATAATTACTAAGATACCTGAGCCGAATAAGGCCCAGGTACTAAATAAGGCCCACTTTTAAATTTATTACTTTAAAATTCGCTTTACGCCTGCACTATATGCTTAAAAGATGTGTCATAGGAAGTAGATAAAAAAGGATTAAAGAATCGGAATCGATAGCAACACGATTGGTTAACACAACAAAAACTTGTGTGTATGAGGCCAGTATGAGCCATTTTTATAACAATCCACTGCAAAATTTACTAGTATACAATGTTTCATAATTTATTATACTTCATTATAATACAATATTATTCAACTTCCTAACTATGGAAAATAACTAATAAATAATTTTTTTGAAATAAGAGTATAAGTATTTTTTTTTAAACATGTACTTATTAAACAAGGCTCACTTATGTGATTTTTATAATAGCTATCATTATTTGTTTGTTGTGTGTGGAGTTTACGCCAGAGAATAACAATTTTCAATGCTACTATCTTTTAAGAAACCAAAATTGCATTTAAATTGCTAAAAATTTTCAAAGGTTGAAGAGTTAATTACAAACAAAATTAAAGATAATTGTAATATATTTGAGAGTAGAGTAAGTCCTAAGGAATTTTCTTTCTATGATTAATAATCATTTTAAAACTGATTTAGAAAGAAAATGTTTATTTTCTTTGTTATTTTTAATTAATTTTTTATTTGGGCCTTATTATATTCATATGCATATAATAAGGCCCAATGTCAAAATGTAATAAAATTTTTTTTTCGCTCATTTACATATATTCTATATAAATAATATATTTTATTTTTTGGAGTGAATGAAATGAAGATTTGATTCTCACTTAGTTTATTTCAATATTCTCATAAAAAGAATTAAAAAAAAAATAAAATAAATTAGGTGGGCCTTATTCGGCTCAGGTACCTTATAAGAAAGTACGTTGAACGCTAGTTCCATGAGAATTCACCCAAATGCTAGACATTATCGTGGCTAACCTCTGATTATGTCTCTAGTTGCAAACGTTGCGGTCCAATCAGAACTGAGCAAGATTGACATTGATTAGACAGCAAAGTTTGTTCCCAAGCGGTTAATGTAAAATCAGGTTAAGATAACGATAAGATACCTATCTTTAAAAATTCTTTAAGAATAAAATATCTTAAAGTTGTTCTATACGTCGATTTTGAACATTCTGCTCATTGGGTAACAAAAAACATTTGCATAAATTGCAAAATGGTACAGGACTCTTCCACTCACAAAGTTTTATCTGAACCG